AGAAAGAAAGAAAGAAAGAAAGAAAGAAAGAAAGAAAGAAAGAAAGAATGAGGGAGAGAAACGTTAAGTTATTTGTTCATTTTATTGGTCAGTTTATTTGTACTAGGCACACTCCCGGTAAAACTTCACGGTTTAAGATGGCTGGCAGAAGGGCGAACCTGCCACCAGAATTTAATTCCGGAGGTTTCCACGAGGCTTTACTCCAGATCGGAGCAACCTCTGTTGTGTAAGGCTCCCTTCCATCTCTACGTGGAAAGTGAAGAGAATCAGATCACTTCTGGATCAAATCCATTCGGGGATTAGTTTGGTTCGATCCAATAAAGTAAACGGTGGGCCTTCATTCTCCCGGTCCTGGAAAACACCCTCCACCTTTGCAAGGCTGGCATTTTATTTAACACTTCGTTCCTGCCGCTATGCCGGAGATATCAGAGGACAAAGTCAGGCATTTTCAAAGTTGTCTGGCTAAAGGGTTTGTTTGATTTTAAAAAAAAACACGAAATAGTTTCCTCCTCCCCTTTTAAACAACAGGTTGGATAAGAGCTAAGTATTATTTTTCCCTGCCTGGGAAATTTATTCAAAATTTACCAAACCCAAAAAAAAAAAAAAAAAAATCCAGACCAAACTGTATGCTGTATATTTTACTCCCATGAAACACATTTTTTTTCCAATGTTGTCTGAAAAGGAAAACACTAATTATACGAAATGTTATACAGGGGTATGTTTTACATTGTAGATTCAAAAGTCACCATTGCATCCACCAGAGGTACTATTCTAAAACTGATATTCACACAATGGGACTTCCTTTTTAATAATAATAATAATAATATTAATAACATGTTAGAAACATACAGTGTTGCATTTAGTACAGTATATACATTCCCTTGCTCGCAAGCGAAAAAAAAACAAAACGAAAAACAAATCCCTACTCTCTTGTGTAACATGCTTTATTTTAAAGCCTAACTTTTAAAAACACTGTGGAGATATTACTAACTGCTTTTATAAAATTAATTTTGACATTTCAATATATATATACATCCTTTCCCGTCGTTTTTTCTTTTCTTTTAATGTTAACAATGCTAAACATAAAAAATAACAAGCTTATAGGAACATTAAAATGTCATACCATATCCAGTCAAACGTTTGTCCGTATTTTATATATATTTATAATATATGTCCTTGTCTCGGTTGGGAACATTTCTTTCCCATTTTTTTTTTTAAAAAACACCTCTTTCCATTTATTTTAAGGAGCCGAAAAACACCCTGTGGAAAGCAAAGAACGCGGAAATTTCAAGGGGTTCCCTTCTCTCTCCCTCTCCCTCTGCCTGGGTGGATTCAATTCGGCTGCCTAGTTGCTCCTTCTCCTGCTCGCTCTCCCCACCCGACCCAGCGCTGTTGGCTTTCTATTGAAGGTCCAGGTTCTTAGATGCCAAGGCGAAGCAGCCTCCTTCGTCCCTTCCGACTGTCACGCGCAAATCGATTGCCTGCCCCTCCTTCCCCGCCCGCCCGCCCTCCCTCCCCTCCCCTCCCCTCCCCACGCAGCCAAGGAGAGAGCAGCCACCCCGAAGCCCGGGCCGAAGAGGCTGGCCTTTTGCTCACACCGGCCTGTCCACGGCGTATTGGCAGGCGCTCAGGTTGGAGGCCGGAGTCTGCACGCTGGCGTAGCCGAAGCTGGAGTGCTGCTTGGCTTTGAGTCTCAGGCTGGCCAAGCTAGAGTTACACGTGTCCCGGTAAACGTAGGGAGGGGTCGGCGGGGCATAGGGGCAGGCGGGCGTGGGCACGGCCGAATTGAGCGAAGGGTTGCTTAGGTTATTCAAGTTATTGAGGCTGTTGAGGCCGGAGCCCGGCACGCCGGTGACGGCGGAGGGCACCATGCTGGAAGACATGCTCATGGACGAGATGGAGTTGGGGGGCGAGAACATGCTCTGCGAGGACAGCGGGTTGACGTTCATGGAGTTGAAGAAGGGGAAGCTCTTGGTGGAGAGCGATGCGGAGGTCAGCCCCTTGGCGGCCCAGTTGTTGTACGAGTAGCCCGGGTACATGTCGTCGTAGGGCTGCATCAGCCCGTTGAACTGCGGCCCAAAGCCGTTCTTACACAGTTCCGCCTGCTGGTTCCGCTCCCGTTTCCGCCACTTGGCCCGCCGGTTCTTGAACCAAACCTTAAGGAGAAAGAAGAGAGAGAGAGAGAGGGACGGAGGGAGGAGGAGGAGGAGGAGGGAAACAGAGCGAAGGAGAGAAGCTGGTCACTGCGGGGAAACCAAAGGACACTAGCATGCTCCTCCGCACTACGGGGCTTCCCAGGCTCCCCGAGGAAAGGAGAAGGGGCAAGCGAGCACCAGAAACCAGAACCCTACCCCGCCCCCCACACACAACACTTCTTCGGTGACCCCCTCCCCTCCCGCTCCACCCTCGGACTTTACTCATCCTGGTTTTTATTTTACCAAAAATCTTTTTTTTAAAAAAGGCCCTCTTAAAAAGAATGCAAGTCCTTCTGCGGAGCCCGAACAATAAACGCCTTCTGATATGACAAAAAGAGCCTTTCAAGGCTCCTTTACAGGGGAGGGGCGGAGGAGGGGGGGGGGAGAGAAAAAGAAAAGACCCCAAGGGTTGTCCGAACGTGAAACGCACCGTTATTTACCTAGCAAGGGCCTCTCCCGGTTTTTCGAGAGAAGAGCACCACTGAAAACCTTTGCATCCTCACGACCACACAAGCTTCCCTTCCAAGAAAGCCTTAAGTAACCTGCGCGGAAATGTCCGGGCTGGGCTCCAGAGTTAAAGGCCCAAGTCCCAGTAAAACAGCGCGAGGTTCTGTTGGCAGAGACCTCTCCCCTCCCCCTCCCGAACGCCATTTCCTCAAATCTCGCTGAGGTCAGCCCGGAAAACCTGTTTAGCCTAGGCTGTTACACCTTTGGCCCAAACTGGTCCACGGAGCGAACAGTTTTGTTCCTCTGGCCTTATTAACACACCGTATGGCTACATAAACAAAAAGGCCTATCCTGGCATTTACATTCGTATAATAAGCACACAGCAGCTCGCCTACGCTGAATTTTAACAAACGGGCTTCTCCAGAGAGCGGCCAATCTCCTTCTCCTTAAAAGGCACAAAAATGTTTATCCGCAGCTGACTTTGGAGACGGGGAGGACTTTGTTCCTAGCCCCGACAAAAGGTTGAAGTCCGAAGGCGAAGATCGTTCCTAACAAACTCTGATACCTAGCCAAGAAAACGTCCTGTGCATCTGCTGGTTGGTTTTCACCTCTCCGCGTTTCTCCCCGCCCCCGGCCCCCTTTCCTTTGCAGGTCATTCATTTTGATCCGAGTGGCAATCTTGAACAAAAGGGACTTGGCTCCTTTTTCCACCTCAAACCTCTAACTCCCCTTCCCCGCAAAGGCCTAGAAGTCTACGGCGAGGGCGTTAATCCGCTTTAACACCCATTTTTCTACACAGAAGAGGAAGAACCGACCCTCGCGATTATATTAATAATCCGCGAGTAGGTTACAATTTAAATCCGGTCACTGATTTTTCTCTCCAGCAGCCCGGGAGTGAGGGGGGGGGGGGGAAAGAAGAAGTCGACATAAATATCAGTTAGGAAACCTTCGAATAAATCTTTTACCTTAACAGCTGGTGACAGGAGCGGCTTTCTTTCATGTGCTAATCATTAGTAGAGCTAAGCCCAGTCCGGGGCTGCTGCTTCTCCTGCGCTTTTTGGCAAACTTTGCTCTTTCTCAGCGCGAGAAGGACGAGCGCCTCCGCCGCCCAAGACAAAGGCGACAGGCGCGCGTCTCTTTCTCCAATCCACATTCCCAGTTGCCCGCTCGGCCCACCCGCCTCCTTCCGATGTGGATTGGGATGGCCGCTGCTCTTGGGTTGACCCCATCCGAAAGTTCGCTCTAGCCGGGGACCCGCCGCGCTCCCCCTCGATCCAAGCCTAAAGCCGCGGTTTGGACTGCTCTCTCTGCGCGCCCGAAACGCCGAGCCGACCGCTGCAGGCAGACAACCCGAGGGGCGGGGGCTGTTTCCGCCATCTGCAACGGAGGCCCGGCCGTCTTTTTCAGGGCCCCAAGAGCAGAGCCACGCGCTGTTTGTGCAGGCGGCATCGCGCCTAACTGAAAGTAATAAAGGCCGTTTCCTTCGTCCGAGTTTTTTTTTCCTCCTTTCTTTTCTAAGCGTTTGGGACGGCAACCCGACAAGCTGTTACAGAGCAAATCAGTCTAGATGTGGTTTCCTTATGATTGGAGCCACCATAATAGTAAAAAGTTGGAAATCTGAGGTGATGGCACCGCCCGTTAGAACACAAACACAACTTGCTTACAAGCCCAACAGCAGCTAGAGCAAAATCTCAAAGAGCAATAAATTCTATTAGAAAGAACCCAAAGGTCGCAAAGGATTCTGGAAGGTTGCTTCAATACTGGACTGGACTGTGCCGCATTGTTTCCAGAAGGACAATTTTCCAAGCAGAGGACTCGATTCGAGACCAGGTTAAATACCAAGCTTTTCCGTTTAAATGGTTTGAAGCACAGGAATTCCGGGTGAATTGACTGAGGAAGCCAAAAGGATCAGCTTTCGCCTTATACTTTGCCCTACTTTTTTCCCCAGACGCTTGTGGTTTATTTGGGCTTGAGTCTCAACCTTTCCAATTTTTAATTAAAAACAAAAAATGGGGATGTAAGTTCTGAGTGTTGCAATTAAAAGGGATTCATCAAAAGGATGGTTTGGAATGGATTTTAGTGTTCATTGGTCTTTCCTAGATTAAAGGAACACCAATCCATTCTATACCGTCCTTTGACATTGCAAATGCAACATTTTATTTTCGTAAATATGGATAACTTCGCTACAAAACAGCATCTCTTTTCACTCTACTCCTAGTAGTAAGGAGTAAGTTGGGCTGCATTCAAAAATCCTGTCTTTTCACGACAATTGTTTTGGAGAGTCTCTTTCACTCTCATCCAAGAAAAAAAAATTGTGTGGTTTGCCACCACTCCTTTTTGGAAAATAGCTCCTTCTTCCATCTCCCTTTCCATGTGTGTGTGTGTGTGTGTGTGTGTGTGTGTGTGTGTGTGTGGATATGAAACAACAGCAGCTTGACAACACTGAAGCAAGCTGACCCCTGCTTCTCCATGCCCCCTTCCTTTCATTTCACTGACTTCCACAGAAACCAGTGAAATGAAGTAAAACTGAATTTACTTCCACTTCAAATAAACCTTGGGATTAAATCCAAAGGTTCACTCGCCAACTTTCCTGACTCCAAGCAGTAGTAATTATTCAAACCTTACGGAGTTTTAGAATCACTAATCCCATCGAATTAAGAGACCCCCCATCTACCAATTTCTGCTTAAAACTTAAGCTTGGTTTACACAGGGAAAACTGGAGCCGCACCAGATTCCATCCGGTTTTCCTACCACGAGTAGTTCTGAAATACAACCTTGATAGTAAAAACGGGCCTCCCTCCTTCCTCTCAGGCGCATTGGGGAATTTTCATATATATATTTTTTTCCTTTCCCCTCCGACTGAGCTGCCTGATCCTGTCGGATTTTAGGGGCTTTTCGGATGAAGCCATAAATCTAAGGCGAGAAGAGGGCCGGGGAATAAGCCACCAGAGTTGTGAAAGCGGAGGGAAAGGAGAAGGCGGGGGGGGGGGGGGGCAAAGAATGCGGAGAAGGGAGCGTCGCGGGGCCTGGGAAGGCGGCCGAGGTCTGGCATTTGGCGCATTTGAGCTGGGCGCACGTCGGAGCCTGCCTGAGCCGCTTTCTTGGCGCAGGTTTCCTTTGCTCCTTCGCATCCCGTTCCGAACACGCCGCACAGTCGGGGCCATCCATCATCTTCGGAGGGGAAGGCAATCCGTCAAGGCCTGACAGATAGAACCGAGGAGCTGCGCCGGGCCAAAGCCCGCCTCGCTGGAAGCGAAATCGAAAGCAGCGGCCATCGCCGCCGCCTCTCCCCGCGAAGTCCCGCCCAGCGTCCCCACCGCGCCTCGGCGCTCTCTTACCCTGACTCTGGCCTCGGTGAGGTTGGTCCAGACGGCGATCTCCTCCCGCGTCGACATGTCCGGGTAGCGGTTGCGTTGGAAGGTGGCCTCCAGTTCTTGCAGCTGCTGGCTGGTGAAGTGAGTGCGCTGCCGCCGTTGCCGCTTCTTCTTGGACGGATCTTCGGCGCCCGCGTCCTCATTCTTGCTCGGCTGGCTTTTCTCTTTCTCTGCGGAAGGGGAAAAAAAAAAGCAGCGTCGGGTCAAGGGCCCGTCGGGGAGAGGGAGGGGAGGAGGAAAGGAAAGGAAAGGAAAGGCAGCGGCGGCGGCGGCGGCGGCGGCTGCTGCAAGGCAGAAGAGAAGGAAAAGGAGTCGTCGCCCCCGCCAGTTCCCTCGGCCGGCTTCACAGGCCAGCGACTGGAAGCCCACGCGAGGCCAACCTCTGGGAAGAGCTGCGAAACAAGCCCGCTTCATTGCGGCCCGCGCTACTGACAATCAAGGCGTGCGCCATCCGGAAGGAGCCACAGCCACGGCGGCCTGGCTTGAAATGAGTAAGAACCACTTAAAAACAAAAAAACAAAAAGCCCAGGCGAGAAATACCTATCCGCAATCAGGTACAGGAGCTTTGGGGAGAAGAAGCAGAAATCCGAAGAGCTGCTTAAAATGAGGGCGCTTCCTTCCCAGGGAAAGAGCCCATCCGAGAATGGCAAAGCGCTCCTTCATCCTTGAAGTGCGCCTGCAGGATGAGTGGCCCACGGGTGAGAGTGGCTTCCTTGTGCTCTGGACTCTCCCAGGCTTTGAAAAAAAAATTTATACCAAAAGCAGCGGCTGAAAATGGGAAGGAAAGGAAAGAAAAAGGGGGATTCCCGCTACTAAACTACCTGCTTAGACTTGGGACACGGATTGTGTAAATTAGTCACTCCCAACCTGAACGTTCAAACTGCCAGGTCCAAGCAGGTTTGCTGTGATTGTTCAAGGGATTGCTCACTCCTTCTCCCCTAAGCATAAGCTTTTATTGCAATTAAACATATAACCGCAGGTGGTTGTAGTGGGACAGTACAAGTCTAAACTGACAATTCTTCTATAATATATAGAACAAGGGTCTCCACAACCTTGGCAACTTTAAGGCTTGTGGACTTCCGTTCTCAGAACTCCCCATCCAGAAAAGCAATAAGCTCCATTGCCCTGGGTTGAAGGCAAGCAAACACACACACACACACACACACACACGTTTTTAAAAGGATGCAAGGATAAAGTATTCATTAGAAATGACAAGATTTTGAGAAGACCGAATATTATCTTGCATAGTCTTACTTTTTTTTTTTTTTAGACCTACCCATTTTGGGGGCATCCAGAAATTATACTCAATAGTAGATCGCACATTGGAGGATTGATATCGATTGATACAAACTACCGAAAGAAATAAATGCCTATTTTCTCAAAAACTACAATCAGACTGAAAATCCTTTCAGAAGCAGTTGCTTTACGCACAGCAGTAAGTTTTATGTACAACGTGAACTGTAGTAAATATCTATGAATGTATAAAGATAGACACACTTTAGGTCTCAAGATTGTTGTCCTTTATATAAATAAGAAGTGTTTCGGAGTCAGAATAATTTGACCTTAGTATAATTGGAGGTGGTCACGCTAATACCTGCAGTATTTGACTCAACAGAAGGTCAACTATATCCGTGGATTTAGCCCCAAATATTTTTTAAAAAATGTATCTAGCATTAACTCAAGACTCGGTGGTTGAACCCAAACTATAAAGTTGACCATGTTCACTTGCAAATAAGTCCACTTCAGTTCTTTCCTTCTCCCTGGGCTAAAATCATGTACATTGCATATTCTGACAGAGCTCTTCCGAACAGGAGCTGCAATTGCAGTTAAACTCTATGCACATTGATTCTAAAGTACATCCAGTTGATCTCAACAGGAGTTACTCTTGAATAAGCCCAGGCAGCAGCATGGTTTAGCAGAATTTCCCAATGCACCTTATTGGAAAGTCTCAGAAACTTGCATTGGAGGCTTACAGCCAGTCGGTTTCAGGGTCCCTGACTTCCGCTCTCTTGCAGTCACATTAATTTCACTAATCTCAGATTAGTGGACATTTTGGACATCTCCTTATTTCAAGAGCTTTCCCAGCCCCCCTTTAGTTTCCAGTCAAGAGTTCAAAGAGTTACTCTTTCAGAGAGATATAAAGTCTGCCTGCATCAGGTGATACTCCTAGGAATGGTTGCTTTGTCTGACTTCTTTCACCTGAGCTCCTGCTGGGTTTACTGCTGGGCTAGCTTCTCTCCCTTGCGAAGACCAAGGTTGGCCCAGAAGATGGAATATTAAAAAATGTCCCCATTCTTTGCCCACTCTAGACCCCAGAGGTAAATACCTGCCACTGCCTGATTCACCTTCCCCATCTTGAAAGGAGTAGAGAATTTCTTCTTCTTTTGCTGATGTTTCTTTGCAGTTCTCTACCTTTTTAATTTGTGACGATGGAAGTAACGGATCAGGTCCTTAGGCCATCACCCCTCCCCCGCACCGCCCGTTGCCACTGTACAATAATGGGGGGAAGAGAAGCCGGAGAAGGTTAGTGGCTGGATTGGGGCAAGAAGTGCCTTACCTGCGGCCTCGGGGCTGGAGGTGTCGGAGATGGTGTGAACCTCCAGCCGATGCTTGGCAGAATCCAGGGCGGATCGCGGCTGGCCGGGGGTCAGGGCTGAAGCCATAACCAGAGCCTGGTGGTGATGGTGGTGGTGGTGGTGGTGGTGATGGCAAGACGAGGAGGCGGAGGAGGAAGAGGAAGAGGAAGGGGAGGTGGAGCAAAGCTTATTCCCGGCTCCCAAACGCTCCAGGCTGAGAGGGTCTTTCAGGCAGTTCATCGAGCGTCGCCAGCCAGCCAGCCAGCCAGCAGCCCGGGCGGCCGGGAGCTGCGCGCTGGCGGAGAAGAAGCCCGGCGAGGGAGTGGGAGCCGCTGCCAGGGACAGAGGCTGCTGAAGCCCCCTGGCCAGATTTCGCTCCTTCCCGGCCGTTCAGCAGGCAGGCAGGCAGGCAGTCAATCAATCCCGCCCGGACCTCAAGGCAAGGGAGGTCCCCGGACGCCCCCCGCCGAGTCCCCCGCCGAGCTCCGCCGCATCGGGGGCTGCAAAGCCAAGGCTCCGGCGGCACAAGCGCCCCCGCTGGGAGAGCGTGGCCAACCCGAGCCGGAGACTCCCAAGGCGGACGGCGCAGCAGACCATGAATAATCCCCGCGAGAGGGCTCGCGGGCGGGCCGATCAGGCGCAGGTAGAGCGGAGTAGATCCAAAGCCATAGGTGGGTCGGCTGCAAAAGCAAGCAAGCAATCCCGGGGCGAGCGAGCCGCTGGCGTTCTGGCCCGGCGGTGGCCGCGATTTCCCTCCCTTCCTTGGGCGCTCGGAGAGCCGGACTCCTCACTGGCCTCCCTGTTTGCCTAACATCTTAAACCCAGAGGCCGCCTTCCCGGGCCAGTGATATCAAGCCGCCCCTTCCTCTCTCCTCCTTCCAGCCTTCCCCCCGAGAGCGAGACTCGTTGCGGAGAGCAAGACGGACGCGGAGCGCAGCCAATCGGAAAGCGCAACGCCCCGGCGCAGGCTATAATAAGAACAGCCTATCAGAAACTTAGGGCAAGGCTCAATGGAAACCTTCGCTGGTCTCTCTCTCTCTCTCTCTCTCTCCCCCCCCCCCACCTTCCCCAAACCCCTTCCCTCCAGTCAAGTTTTCAAGCTATGCGTTGCAAGTCAGCAAAGGGAAAATTCGAAAATCTAGGGACGGGGCAGGAAACCCGTCGATCTTTACATTACCTAAGCTTTCATCCTTGGGAAGAAGAAAAAGAAGTAGGGGGGAAAAAAGCTTTCTCCTGCATTTATTTCGGAGATGCCTGCAAGAACTCTTGGAGCCACTCAATAAACCCAACCTGGAAGACTAGGATCTTCAAAATCGCTGCCTAGCAAGCACCGCCGCACAAAGGATTTCCCCTTAGATTAAAAGCAAGCAAGGTCTCCCGGAGGTGAAATGCAGCCTTCAGAGTTTTTGCGACGACTTCGGACTTTTGTTTCAGTGACGCAGAAGAGAAACCATATTCTTTTTTTTTTTAAAGAACAAGCCAAAGTGAGCGATGGTCGCGGGAAAACGTAGAGAAACTTCTATCCGCTTAGGACCTCTGTAATTCAATGGCTATTTATTATTACACTGAATACACAGTGTAATGAATGTCCCCAATTAATTGTTCAAAATCCCCAATGCCCTTAAACTATTAGATTTTCACTGATCTTAATGTATCTATTATAGTCATCTACCTCTCAGATTCTAAGAGATCTTTGTGCTAATCCTAAACACATTTCATTCTTTTGTTGATAAGACTGCAAAGATTTGAAATTCGTATCCGTCAAATATACTGGAACAAACATGTAATTGGCGGTCGAGCCCCTCCCCCCCCCAATAAAATCAAAACTGAGATATTGTCTATATTTTTCGCATTTAAAAAAAAAAAATCCTTAACATCCTTTTGCTATTTTTTATTTGGCAATAATGAAAACCAAATCAGAATAAGAAGAATGAAATAAATAATAACTAGAAATAAACCAGATGCTGAAAACTTTAATTTGCTTCTCCTTTTGCACTTAAACCAAGCCAGGTGAGGGTCCTAGTCAAGGAGGCTCACCCGCAGAGACAGCCTTTATGTGTGTGTGTGTGTGTGAGACGCCTCAATAAAAGATAGATACATATATAACTGAGGCGTCATCGGGAATTAACACGACCTGTCTTACTCCGCTGGAATTATGTTTCCCACCCGCAAATACGGCACTGCAACCTGCGACAAAATCGGGGCTTAAATCTCTTGACAGTAACAGGCGCATTTGAGCCAGCCCGCCTTACGCAAGAGTAGCTCCGCATTTCAAGGAACAAAAAACGAAATAAAACCAAAACGCGCCCTTCTGCCGTCCCTCGTTGCAGGTGAAATTGGCTATTCTTCGCTTTTCTTTTTTTAAAAGGTGGTGTTATATTACAACCTTTAGGAAAAGGGAAAGAGGATATCGGGTAGACTTTGCTTCTAGGCGGAAATCTTCAGCCTCTCCTTTCAAAGTGCGGGGCAGTGTGAATACCCCAAAACGTTTGCTTCTCTCTCTGTCCCCCCGCAAAATCTCCTCGATTGGGGTACCGTCGTTTACCTTAAAAGGTGCTTTGAATTCGTTTCTTAATCATCGCGGGGGGGGGGGGGAGAGAATGCCCCCCTTTCACTCTGGATTCCCAGTTACTAAACCCGCGGAGTTCGCAGCAGCGAGAGGTAGCAGGAGGATGGACTCGGCCTGGTGGGTAAAAGAGCTCGGCTCAGGCTCGTAGGATTGGACCCCGGGGCCCCGGTTTTCGGGATGCCCTCCCTCAAGCAAGCCGCCGCTGATCCCCGGGGATGTTGCCACAGGGAGAATGGCTGGACCGGTCACTTTCAACCCCAATCTCCGTTTCCATCTCCCCTCCCCGTCTTTATGGAGGGACGGTCCCCGCCCCTTTTGTCGCCTTCCCCGCTACCCCCCCCATATAATTTTAGCAGTATAAGAAAAAAGCAGGTCTCGTTAATTTACATGCCGCTCATTATCCGCTCATTAAACGGCGAAGCTTTATCCCTGCGATTTGGCAGTGACCTGCCTCTCCCCGAGACCCCTCCGCCTTTGGATGCAGAGAATTCTCTTACATTTGTAGTGGATTTTAAGCTGATAAGACTCTAATTTGCTTAAGTCTTTTAAATAGGGGGCTTTCGATGGGTCTAGCTCTTTTCTTATTGGATTGCCTCTAATTCCCCCAAGATCATAAAGTATATGTATAAAGTAAATAGTTTCTCCCTAAGCACCGCCAGCAGATGACCTATAAGTAAATCAATAAGAATCCGGAGCTTTTCTCTACAATTTGTTTACTAACCATAGCCCGGGTTCTCCTTAACCTCCCAGGGCCACGAGGGGCTCCACACGCCCTGTAAATCCCTCCAATCCCTAAAGCAACTTGGACACTGGCGCGGGGCGGCGCGCGGCAGAAACTACTCATTCGTAGCAGAGTTGACAACAGGAGGCAGAAAATGCAGCAAAACCCGCCCCTCTCCCAAAGAGAAACCAGGAATTTCTCCCCCAAACTTGGGAAAAGGGAAGTACTAAGAAGAAATGAACAGGGTGGAGAAGGGTTGGCACAGTTCGACCCTCTGAGGTTGGGTGAAAGAATACCATCCGTTCTCTCATCAGATTGAAAATGCCCCCTTTCCGCTCAGAGCGAGGCCTTCTCCACCCAAGAGCATCCTAACGCTTTCATTTCAAGCAATCCTAAAGATACACCCCCACCCATCTTCCATTCAGTTAGGCGGGAGGGAGGAAACCAATCCAACGGACTTTGTATTCTCAAGGGGTGATTACAGTAAAGCTACACAGAAGGAGATACACCATGCTTACCACCTGCGCTGGTAAGAAACCAGCGCCTGCCCTCTGCGATCCTAAATATATCCGCACAGAAGCCAGCACCGCTGCTGTCAGTGAGGCTTCCACTTAAGGGAATACAAGAAGGCTGCCTTGCCAATTTTGAGCTCAGAGCTGAAGTGGAGATGTGGAAACACCAGTTTTTTTAAATGAAACACAGGCGTTTTTTGCTACTCCTGAGAAAAATGCAGATCCAGTGGGGTTTAAGAAGACTAGCCATAGCAATCCATGACAAGAGAGGTCTTTAAACCCGGTTAAAGTTGAATTAATGGCTTTACATATGTTACAGAATATGGCCCAGTAAACTGTACATGGTGGTTTGAATTGGGAAGAGAGTGTTGCTGTGCATAGAAATTGCGCAGCAGCGGCGGCAGCAGCAGGCCCCATCCTGGTTCCCCTTGGGTGGGTTGGATTTCAACCCTTATAATCTCATTGACATTTGGAGGGCACCAGCCAGGTTAGGAAAGGCAGCATTTCTCTATCTAATTGAAGCGAGGGCATGACAGCCTGACATCCTACGATTCCTATTTGATTGAAAACATCCTTGAGAATCTGGATTTAATCATCTAATCTAATCTTTCAGATCATGAAATCTAATTACTCTTAACTGGTAGCAACCCTCAAACGGGAGCCCTCCACAAACTCTCTCCTATTTTGAGGTGGATTACTAGAACTGAACCTGGATCGTTTCCATAGAAAAGGATGCACGCTTTACCCTTCACTTTAACTATCTTCTTCCAAAACACCAGCCATGGCAAGATGGGCATTAGTATTTTCTGAATGGCTACCTCATCCAGACTTGGAAAGCTGGCCCCTAGTTTTGAGTCAAAGGCCAGCAGATGGCAGAAAGTAGCATCCAACACAACAAATTTAAATCAATGATGATAATGAAAATATCGATAATAATGATAAATGTGATCTGCTTCTGTACTAAAATCAAGGAGGGAAATGGGCAGTTCGAAAATGTGAAAGACAAACACACAAAAAGAAATTTATTGTGGAAGCCATAGTTGGCTTCCCATATCATATTTGCTCAAAAGAAGTTAACTAATCCAACATTCTGGGTTTTAATATAAGTGATTGATGGTTTAATGTGTCATGGGAATTGGTTCATTGCTTTATGTTTTTAAATCAGCCATTAAATAGGTTGTTTTGGGTTATTTATTTCTGTCTATCCCACCTTTATTATCTTTACAAATCACTCGATGCAGGGATCATATCTTATATCCCTTCCTCCTCTTATTTTCCCACAACAACCTTGTGAGGTGGGTTGGGCTGACAGAGAATGACTGGCCCAAAGACACCCAGCTGACTTTTGTGGCTAAGGAAGGACTCAAATTCATAGTTTCCCAGTTTCTAACCTGGTGTCTTAACTACTTAACCAAACTGGCTTTTATCATATTAATATACTTGCAGCAATGCTCCAAGGCCGCTTCTGTCAAATAATCATCAAATCCAAATAAAATACACCAGCATCATAGAAGAAGAAATAGCCAAGTTAAAAAAAAACAAACAGTAACAGTGCAAAAAACATGGCATTAGTGTTCAGAGCCACATGGTAGAGTAAAACAGACCCTTCAGGAAAGGCTAATGAGTTAAGGCTTTATATTTTTCTTAAAATAGTGTCATGGAGACAGCAATTGTACTGTGCAACAGTTATGCTTTAGCTTGTTGCCTGAATTCAGTTTTGTCCGGTGCTTGGTGGTACCTTCAAACTTTCATAGGGAGTAGCATTATGCCAAACTCACCAGTAGCAGAGTATTTCCTGAATTAAAGGCAGTGGGTTTCCAACTCCAGCTCAAGGATGGGTTAGAACTTTTGGTCTGTTAAGAATCTGCTCTGTCCTTGAGAAAGAAGAATTATACATGGGCAAGATGGGTTTCATAAGATTCGCTGTTCCCACCCTCACTGTATTTTATCAAAATCCACAGCCAGGTGTGGTTTAGTGGACTTTTATAACTAGACTAGCTTGTCTATACCCATGTTTCACTAAGAAACTATGTGATCAAGCTTAATTTTCAGGGAGGAA